CACACAGGACACGCTGTTGCTGCATGAACCAACTCACTGTATTCCAAGGGCAATCCAGGGTCTTGGCAATACGCCATCCCACCCTGGTGCTACGATGGCTGCCCTTCCTATGCACCCCATCTACTGATGAATCTACTGAAGGGTCAGTTACCAGGGCTGGTACCCAAGCTAGGGCATCAGCCTCCCGATTGCCAGGGGGTGTCAGCGCCTCATGAGCCGGGAGGTGGAAGCCAGTGAGGACAGCCTCAGCCTCTTGCAGGTGAACCGAAACGTCTCTCCACACATCCTGCCCCAGCGAGGGTTTATTCATGAACATCCACCTCCCGACTCCCCGCTGTTCAAACCACAGGGTTACTCCCTTTAGATCAGCCCAACTGTCACGGCAAAGGGTTAACGGCCAAGGCTCATGAGTGGTCACCAGACAAATGCTGAGTTCAGACCCCTGGCTGCTGCAATTCATTCTTGTTACAAGATGAACAGATTCCTGTTGAACTTATGCAAATATATGCCATGAAACTAAGAATGCTCATTCTAAGACTTTCTGAATTCTGGAGGGGTCAGGTAGGGAGGAAAAGATGAACGTTTCCTCCTTGTTCACAATGGTATATGTTAGCAAATTGCTGATAGCTTACGAGAAAAGAAAATTGTTTTTCTTACCTGGGAAAACAAAACATAAAAGAATCAACAATGTTTCTAATTTAAAAAATCATAAAAATTATAGTCATCCTCATCAGTTTTTCCATTAGAGTTCTGCAAATTCTTACTCAGTTTAGTGGCATGATCTTAGTTATCAGAAAGCTATACTCTTCCACAAATCTTGAAGATGAAGCACTCTTACAGGAACACTTTTGCAAAAGCATCAGAGCCTGACAAAAGACTGCAAATGACAGAAGACTTTAAAATGGCCAAAAGGTTGAAGATCTGATGAGCGCTCATTATAATGCAATTGGCAAGGAAGTTTGGTTATTGCTGTGATATACATCCTCCTGATGACCTCCTCCAACACCGAGCAGGGAACCTACTTCACAGCAAAGATGGGCCGTGGGCACAGGCCAATGACACGGGATCCCCGGGTTGTATGACACATCATACCATGCAGAAGCAGCCGGCCTCCTAGAAGGATGAACTGCCTTCCAGGGTCACCCATGAATGACCAGCTGAGAGGCAACCTCCAGAATGGGTGCGGTGCCATCCTGGGGATGCAGTATGTGCTTAAATCAAAGGCTTCTGTACAGGGCTAAGTCCCCAGTAAGAACAACACACAGGTCCAGAAACGAAGCGGGGTGGGGAACAGGGGTGGCCCCACTTACCATCACTCCCAGTGATCCAGTCACAGCGAGGAATTTCATGCTTCCATCCTTGCCACTCTGAGCTCTGCAGCGTTAAAAGTTCCGATCTCCAGAGGGTATGCACGCTCTTGCCAGGGGCCACACCAAGTGTCTCATTACAGCCAGGACACTTTGGCCTCCCTGTGCCCAGGGACCAGAAAGTCAGCATGCTGGCTGTGGAATCTGACCCTGACCAGCCAGGGAAGGTAGCATGTGTATGGAGTCCCGGTGGTCTGCTTGGGTGCCTCCTGGTGTCCACTGGCTTCCGGATCCCAGTGCCTAGGACACAGCTCCAACTGCTGTCCGAAAAGAGTGTGGTATGATTGCCAAGGGCTCAGCCTTTCAGGACTAAAGGTTTTGAGCCACACCACCAGGGAAGCCGCCAAAACCTGCCAAGATAATCACTGAGGGTGAGGGGAATTTGGAAAGAACAGTGGCTTAGGGAGAGGATGGGAACCAACCAGTATGCACCTGAAACCAATGCAGGATCAGGGGCTACTGCTTGTCCCACTAACTTCCCTCTTCTAAATTCTCCCTCAGAAAGAGAGGCCCACAGAACTCACAGAGGACCTGCCCCCTAAACTTGCTTGCAGAAGTAGATCATTGTGGTACAAGGGGTGCAGCACACTGGCCACGAAAAACGCACAGCTCAGGTCTCCGGCCGTGCCCTGGCAGCACTGCCACCAACCACAGCGGGGGCACTAATGCAGGTCCACCCCTGAGGGTCCTGGAGATTCTCGGCCGATTTGGCCCGTCGGCTTGGCCAAAACTCTCTTAGAATGGGACTTCCATCTGAAACCTTTCTAGCCCACCCCCTTTCATCCCTGTCCCCGCTCCTGACGGGTGTCAGACTCTCATCACGGTCGGAGGGGCTCCCTGCCTTCTCTTGTTCTCTCTCCCCTCATCCTTCACAGGCCTTTCCCCCCCGAAGACTTCCTGCACAGGAAATCCTCTCCTGGTGTCTGCTTCTCAGGGGACCTGAATTAAAACTAAAGCTAACTGTTATTACTTTTATTACCCTAAGTTGTCTACTTTTTTCCTTAAACATAAAGACCCAGGGGGAGAGGAGGGTCTTTGGGTCCAAAAATAGTCATATCCTCTTGGTACTAGACCACAGAAAAAAACTGTGACATTTCTACCAGTTCAACATTCTCAGTAATGTGTGTATATATAGATGTACACACGTCTATCTATATACACCACATACACATATATACACAGTTGAGCCTAGAACAATGTGGGTATGGGGTTGCTGACCCCCCTTCCCTAGTGTGCAGTCAAAAATCTGTGTATAACTTTACAGTTGGCCCTCCGTATCGCTCGTTCTGCATCTGTGGATTCCACTACACCAACGTGTAATACTGTAGTATTTACTATTGAAAAAAATCCTTGCATAAGTGTACCCGTAATCCAGGTATCAGTTCAAACCCACGTTGTTCAAGGGTCAACCGTATATCCTTTATACAACTGTATCCTTGTAAATTTGTGATTTTTCAAAGGAAGGATTCTTCACTTCAGAAGCTATCAGTTTTAGAAAAAATTTTAAATTCTTGTCTTCCGTGAAAAAGGCAATACGTATCCATCTAAAAACTAACAGTGAGATTAAGTAAAATGTTATAAAATAAGCTGAGTAGGGATTAGGGAAA